TGACATATGATCATCATATCACAAACACAGTGTCATCTTGCCTTTCTAAGCTTTGCCAAATAAACAGAGTCARGAAAAGTTTTGACAAAGGAACACTAGAGCTGCTGATAAAATCCTTAGTCTTCAGTAAAATGCTGTACTGTTCCTCTGTTTGGTCAAACACCACATCGAAAAATGTTAACAGACTCCARTCGATCCAAAACTTTGCCTGTAAGATTATCACAAATTCTAGGAAATTTGACCATGTGAAACCACTACTCCGCTACTTGAACTGGCTGCCTGTCCGAGAACAATTACAGTATAGAGACTCAATTATGACATACAAGTGCATGAACGATCTGGCACCTAAATACTTGACAGCCAAGTTTCAGAAACGCTCTACTATCCACACCCGACACACGCGGAACATTGATAATCTACAGATTCCACTATTCAAAACTGCCGCAGGCCAAAGAACTTTTACATACAGAGKCACAAAAATCTGGAACAATCTAAGCTCTTCATTAAAACAAGAACCCAACATCAAACATTTTAAATGACAACTTAAAACCAATTTTTTAAAAGATTTTCAAGAGTCCCTGTTGTAAATAATTGTAAAAAGTATATACATTTTTAATCTATCTTTAATTTTTTTAATTTTTTTTTTATTTATTTTAAATTTATCTTTTTTCAGAGTTTGCTGAAGAAGGCCGAAGTGCCGAAACGTCCATTAAAACAGAGTTATTATAGCTTCAAGTTGGTGTTTTGTTCTATTTCATTCTACTTTTTTAATATATAGTATATGTATATTTTCCTTCTTTTTATTTGTAAATAATCTCTGAAAAACCTTTCTTAACAATATGTCGAATAAGTGTTGGACACAACCACACAAACACATTGCCGCATGTCGAGTCTGATTGTACGTTCAACCTTGGTCCGAATATAAAGCATTTCGTAGATTAGACAATTAAATTTGTTCTTACAGCGCTTAAAGTCCACCTCACCCAATTTTTTTTACAATTGGAAAAAAAGGTTTAGGAGTTATAAACCACAAATTCACATAAAACAAATTCGAATTTCCAAATTTTATATTTTTTATGCTCGTTTAATTCGGCCAAATGATTTTTGGCCGAGTGCGAGGGAGCCTGGGTTGATGACGTAGATGGAGTAACTCGTCCTTCGGTAAATACAAAGTTTACTGTACAAGTTCCACATATTTCATTACAAATCTATGTTTTCTAAGACTGAACGTGGGATAATCCAGCCTGAAACGGCAAATCTAATGCTACTAGAGATTATTCTGACGATTTGAACGTTATTTCATGTCTTGGTTATAAAAATGGAGCCAAAGTGTTGAGAGATTATTCTGGACAAACAATTGTTGCGTATAGATCTAGATAAATATCGAGGAACAGGAAAAGTTATTTACGGCCCCAGGTAAGTAACTTCTTTCAATATATGTAGGTAGTATTTACAGCTGTTCAAATTCCAGGTTCTCTTGTTTCAGATTTGATTTTTACTGTCATTTCACTGTAGGTATCTATCGTTGTCTCTCGAACGACTTACTCCCTCTACGTCATCACGAAGACATTGATCAGGCACACAGGAATCCCGAAATTGGCTTTGTCCGCGGTTGTTTTCGCTTCAAAATGTAGTTTAAATAAWCRARRTYAAATTTGTTTGTACAAATTGTTGTTACTATGACAAAAGTCTTTTCTTTACAAATATAAAAAAAATTGGGTGAGGTGGACTTTAAGTATCGTGAACGATTTCTCGATAGCGGGTTTAACCAGTCCATGTACTGTTGCCATGTGTCGTCCGATTGCGGAGGCCTGCGTTCTGTGTTCTTCAATTCCTTGATGTAGGTGCCGAGTGTTTTTCTTTTCTTTCTGTTTCTCATAAATTAAATGTGTTATTCTTTATTCTGAGTACCATCACAAAATCTCTACTAATAAGGTTTTGTATATGTAATGCGTTAGATAACTTTTTGGAGTCAATCAACTTCAGACGTTCTCTCTAAAAGACAATTTATTAGCTATAAGACTCTTAGCTAAACCTATGGGGGTGGAACCAACAAATCTTGTACGGTCTGAATTGCTCAACAGGTTATCCATGGATACCAAGGATTTATCAGATGGAGAGCGCTATGCTACCTTACAACCAACCCTGATTGCTTGAAAGATGTTGATTATCTATTTTTCTTTGTCTACAGGCATTCCTACAATGGTTAATGGCAAAATGGTAAACAAAAATCCATACGCGAAGGTCAATATTGTTGCAGTCCAACATGTGACAGATATATGACGGGCTTACATTGTCCTCCGCCAGAAATGATCTGGTGCGATTGATTGTTGTTTCGTTGACTGGATGATGTAACGTATTTGATTTATACAATAAATGGTTGGTCAATTTGTCTGAGCTAACTTCATTCACTTTTGTGCTCCTTGTAGTATCATTCTAATATTAGTATCACTGGGAAAAATCGCGCATTTTAAAGGTTGCGAATAGCCGAGTTTAGATATTTTGGTTCAGTGACCATGCACAAAAGAATTGCAGACGAGGCTCCGGGGAAATAAAGAATAAATCAAGATTATCCATTGATAATTTTATTTTTTTTAATATTGCAAAGAGTTATTTTGAAGTGCACACTTCAAAATGACCAATCAAAGAGCGTATAATATCGTTTTGTTCTTTATTTCCCCGGAGCTTCGTCTGCAATTCTTTTGTGCATGGTCACTGAACCAAAATATCTAAACTCGGCTATTTGATTTCAATATCATGTAAGTGTCCAAAATGATGTAATACCATGATCACCTCGGATTCTTTTGTCTTCCGAGGGATGTTTACAAGCGAACATCCCTCCCTCATGAATGGCATGAGGGACGATTACCAGTAATCGTCCCTCATGCATAATAACATGAGGGACGATTAGACCTAATCGTCCCTCATGTTATTCATGAGGAACGGAAGGCAAAGGAAACCTTTGCTTCCCAGCAGGGACAACTGAATGTCCCTACAGCTGTCTTCTTTTTACCTCTGCAATGAACGGTCTGGTTATCGTCTCATTCACACTGAAATGTGGGATGATTTTTGACCGAGTAGCTCTGGTTCCGAGTCTCTACTTCGTACCGCTGAGCATGTGCACTTGACGAATTTCAATGTTTGATAATAGTTGATAAGCTTCTTGGCATTATACTTGCAAATATAAAAACAACTTTTCGCGGTTGAAGTTAAGGTTCGTTAACTTCAGCATTGAATNTGAATGTCCCTACAGCTGTCTTCTTTTTACCTCTGCAATGAACGGTCTGGTTATCGTCTCATTCACACTGAAATGTGGGATGATTTTTGGGACAAATTGACCGAGTAGCTCTGGTTCCGAGTATCTACTTCGTACCGCTGAGCATGTGCACTTGACGAATTTCAATGTTTGATAATAGTTGATAAGCTTCTTGGCATTATACTTGCAAATATAAAAACAACTTTTCGCGGTTGAAGTTAAGGTTCGTTAACTTCAGCATTGAATAGAACTGAAAAGCAATTTCAAACAAAGTTCGTTGTGGGAAATCAGTAACAATGGTCGGATTATCAATATCATTTTGTACTGTTGTTCGGCGAGTGATACTCTTAGAACAGTGCGTATCCTTTCTTTTCATGTCATATTCCAATTCATGCATGAATTGAAAACATTGGAGCATACAAAAAAACAAGAATTCAAATTCGCTCAAGTTCAACTTCAATTTTTTCCTCGGAAATCATGGTATTACAAAGTAATAGCATGGCTTCCTCGGGAGATTAGGGATTAAATGTCCCTCAGCCTCGGGCAGATAAGTAAAAGTCCCTCGCTGTACCACTACAGGAAACCCGTATTCCGCGCGAAAAGGAAAAAAAACGCCATTATATTTGCTGAAGCATCGAACTTTTTTCCTCCAAACATTTATCTTCCAAATTGATAATAATAAAAAATCATTCACAAACCAAAAATCCTCAGGAGAGCAAATTCAAATCATAGAAATGTTCCCGACAATTTTGTCATAACTACGACGCGTTTGCACATCCGGGAAATCGATTTGCGATAATATCCCAGACACCACAATAGCCATGATGTAAGAGTTCCTCTGCGAATCCAGAAGATCGTCAGGTAGTTCTTTGAACACTAACAGGATCATCAAACTATTAATTATACACTTTTGGTTTATAGCGGTTTCAAGAGGACGCAAATACAAAGGAAGAAATGCCAATTGCACTCCCACTCGAAAAAAAAGTACCTACATGGGTACCCTTCACGTTTTTGCAAGATCTTATCCGATAGGTTTACTAGATATTTGTTGAATAAAAGAAAATAACAGAATTTAAAAACAAGGAAACAATGAGTATTGTTTTATTCCTCCAATAACAAAAGAGCGGAGCACCATTTTTCGATGGACTGACACAGGGCTCCCGCGCGTACGCACGTTTCGGCGTCCGTGTACCACCACAGGAAAACCATACTCCAAAAGCTGAAACCAAGATCATCAGCAGAACTCGATTGAGAGAGATTTGAGAGATTTAAAAACACAGAGAATCAACAAAATTACAGCCTTGAATGACTTTATAAATTGATGAAACCTTGAAACAAGTATGGTTCTGTTGAAGATGTCTATTGAACGATAATTTATCGGAAGTTCAATTATAATAAAGGTTAAAAAAATATTTTTGTAACTTATACAGTTTTCTGTTATGTGAAGTTCGAGTAGGGAAGSGTTCAAACATCGACGTTTTGCCGCGTTTGATCCGATTGATTATTGTAAGCTTATCTAGATTATTTTTGCCGAGAAGCTTTCAGTTATAAAATCTACCGAAGTCAATATTAAATTTGGAGTACGAAATTCTCATAAACATACTATTTCTTAAGCTAAAATGAATAAAAATGTTTAGAATATTTGTTTGCATGTCAACATTCCTTGAAACAGCGCATCTCTACTACTAAGGCTATCTTTGAAATAGTAGTACTATAGTCTATAGTATAGATAATCTCNAACGGTATATCAAACATGTAAATCGAAGAATTCATTATATACCCCATTTTCAATTGAAAATTTCAAGCCAAATAACGGACTTATCTTGTCACGTGACACACCCCCAAAGTTAAAATACTTAAATAAAGGTTTATTTTTGCTGAACTTGATAATACAAACCAATTGATTAATGATTTTCGGAAAGAATAATGAATTGTTTGAGGTTTATTGAAAATCTAGGAAAAACCAGGCCTTAACATGCCAGGGTATGTGTTTAGACGCCGTCGTATTGTGTTTAGACGTCGTCGTATTGTGTTTAGACGTCGTCGCATTGTGTTTAGACGTCGTCGTTATGTGTTTAGACGCCGTCGTATTGTGTTTAGACGTCGTCGCCGCTACATCAGACCACGCTGTTACTGGACAAGATGCCGACGTTGTCGATATGTATGCAGATATGGATGTCGTCGCCCGCGTTGCCGGGTCATATGTCGTTTTGTTAGATGCAGACGTTGCTTTCGCGGATAAAGATCAGGACTGATTTCAKGGAAAGATGGAACGAAAAAAAAACACACACACATCGAGACATGACAACATAAAATAGGGCTTTTAAAAAAACTATAATGCTTGAGATAAAACCACCCAAGAATAAATACCAGTACATTATTGCATCTTCGTAGATTGTTTGTCTTTAGCAAACTTTACGAAAAAATAACGATTTGGACACAGGGGCTAAAAACAAATTTAGGGAAAAGGATTTCCTTATTTTAGTAGTTTGTAAATCATTGATTTTTTTAAGGCAAGAATGGCACTGTTGTAATTAATAAGTTGTAGCACATTTCAGAAATAAAGCATTTGAAAATCAAAGGACATATTTATGTATGGTTTGACCCACAGACAGTTTACAATGCAATATCGACCCGGGGATACTCCCCTATATTATTCATTATTATATGTGGGCTCCGCCTAATAGTGTATGTAATAGATGACACTCAAGAGGGTGTCAATGTTCATCTAGTTGACTAAAAGTCAAAATGAAATAAACAATGACATATTGACATCATTAAAGGGAACACTTTTTGTTTTATGTCTTGGAAAGGATCTAAATTTTAACGATTTTTCTTTAATGATGAGTAGGGTCAGGGTTTTGAAGGACCAGCGGAACGTCCCAGTCCAAATCTGGATGAAGTTCGAGGTAAATACCGTATATTTAAATAAAAAATAAAAAAAAAGAGTTAGTTGCTAGGTTACATTTATCTGGTGCACAAGTTTTAGAATGTGTCTGTATGAGGGGGAAGAGAGGGGAGGGGGAGGGGGGTTGGGGACTGTCAAATATGAGTAATTGATATTTAACAATGAATTTTTTTTTTTGTTCAGTATCAAGAAAATATCGACTCATCACAGCTGGACCAATTTGTGATAACGTTGACTGAGTTTATCACATAGTCATGTTACGAACGCTTTTTTGAATAGTTAGCCACTTGATAACGCTCCTTCGAGTAAATGGCAGCAATATTGAGCTTTTGTCTACAGGTGAAAAAGCAGAAGTCGAATGCAAACCGAAGCATTCACAGATCGCCATGTAAAATAAAATTTTTACCAATTCTATTAAGTATATTTTTATGAATATTTTTTCGTCAGCACCTTCCGCAGGTAAATAAAAGCTTTGCGTTTTTCAGAGCAGAAGTGTTTATATAAAATTTTAAGACATTGCAAAGCCAATAGTGAACTAAATACTCCAGCTGTGTCATTATTATTAAAATATGGTAAAACCCGAATCTACTTCGAGGGATTGATTTTGCAACATGGCAAAAATAAATTTAATAAGTTATAAAGCTTGTAAGTAGACCTTTCCNTGACATCATAAAGAGAATTTATTTCGTCATAATGACGTCAAACTACTGTTTAGATTGTTTTGGGCTTTAACAAGGAAAAATTGCTCGTGTAAATGGGGTAAAATAGACAATTTCTCCTTGTCAAGGAAAAGCCAACATGTTCGCTTTTCCTTGACAAGGAAAAATTGTCAAGGACGAAATTTGCTCGTGTAAATGGACAACAAGGAAAATGTCTCAAGGAAAAATTGTAAAGGAAAACTTGTTGATCTTTCACAAGGATAGTTTTTCCTTGTCAAGGAAAACGTGTTCTTCTTTTAGACTAGCAAAGAAACCGTGTCAAGGGAGAATTGTCGAGGAACTTGTTGACCATTTAAACGAGCAATTTTTCCTTGTCAAGAAACTTTACGCCTTTGAGTTTAAAAGTTTCAATCTTACAATATGCTAATGATAATGACGTCAGGGAGAAGAATTCATTAGATATACGAAAACAGTCGCTCAAAAATGTTTTCATGAACGCCATCTGGGAATATTGTTATTCCCTATATATTTTATATTCATATCTTTACGTTATTCCCTATACATTGCCTACAAAAAATACAACTTCATGAAACCATTTTTAAGCAACTCATTCAAAGGATAACTGGACTATCACAATATGCAAATAAATAAACCTTTTCATTTTGCTCGTAGGCCACGATAGCAAGTCAATTATTCTTTTAAATTTGACAAATGAGACTATTCARATCAATGTTTGCATTGCTCACATTCCTACAAATTCAAAAGAATATTTAACATGTTGTCGAGGCCTAAGAGCAACTGAAAAGGTGTATTACAGCACTTTTCTTGCCACGTCTGATGATCCCAATGAAGGGCCTGATAATATGTTAATTTTAAGGAATTGTTGATGGTTCTAGATTTTAATCATTTTCATACAAAATCGGAGCCTGCCAAAGGGTCGTTGCAGCTGGCAGCATTATAGCGTTTAATTCTAGATCAAAGTTGAGTGTTATAGAAAAATAATATTCATTTGGGTACCGTCACACATCATCACTTTAGTGAACTTTAGTCTCTCAGAACCTTCGAGTGAAATAAACGTTTTCCTATTCTAGAGACTCTTATGTTATTAACATACATGCGAGAAGTGCTAAATTGTAAAACAACCTTTATTGAGCAATATGGATTAAAGATCCAAATACGATATATTTTCTTCCTTGAAGCACAATTTACCTTTTTCAAGGCTGGTGATCGCAAGTTAATGATCTTAAAATAGAGAGTATCTCGCTATTCTTGGCTTTCACTGATCACGTGATAGTCTAAAAAGGCTATTTAGAGGCAGAATTAGCAAACTTTTATTAATGTTCTCAAGAGAACATCTTAATCTAAGGATCATGACGAAATTTAGAGCCGAAATAATGAATTTTAACAGAAATARGAGSGATCGAAAATTGSTAAGAWTGTATGGGATTAGCACGGCTCAATGCGTTTTGGACTGATCAAGAAATGCCTACAAAAAGCTTTGTTTTAAGATTCAAATTAATTTTTTAAGTTCAAGGATCAAAAAGGTATATAACTCCCAACAGTTATGCAAAGTTTGAATCAAAACTGTGATTTCCTAGTAAAAATATAAGCGTTTGAATACGGTCTTACTTTACAAAGAAATGTATGGGGCCGCCATGATGGTGTCCCGGTCGGGGACTTCAAAATGGCGGACCGTAACTCCGAGTATCGAATTGAGCTCAAAACTAATGATTTTGCTTTAACTTTACAACTATATCATTGTAAACATTTAAATTGATGCTGAAACTATAATTGTTTTAAGATTCATAGGCTTTTCGAGTATTTTTGGCTTGTATCAAGTCGCGTGGCAGTATTACGTAACATATTTTTGAACGCTAATAACTCAACGAATAAACAGTAGGCAAAGTTTAAACATTCAGAGCGAACTTCTATCATGCTCTTCAAGATATTTCAGTACCACAATGTTGTGTGTCTGTGATTTTAGTTTTTTTTTTCGACTGATGACGTCATGTGCAAGCCAAGAATATCTAGATGTATTGTGCTAAGAACAAAATATTANTTGGATTCCGGATAATAAGTGGCGCGATTTTCAGTGTCTTTTTTTTTCCTGAAAATTTTATATTCAGCGTCAGTAGCCTGCAACGCGGCAACGCAAGGAAACGCGTCACTAATTTGCTCCAATATTTGTCGCACGCTGACAAACAAACTACGTATATGAAGCACAGTAAAGTACAGCATATCAGTTGGATATAAGTTCTCATCTCTAGACAGCTAGATTTTCACCGATAAAAGCAATCTTCCTAACTATCCATATTTTGGATTCCAAATAGTTGGATTCCGGATTCCAGGATAGGGATTCCGGATTCCAAAGCTGTATTTTTACTGGATTCCGGATTCCGGATTCTCTTACAAGGGGCGAACTATTTTCCAATGAATAACACTTAGTCTTTACATGCCTGGTGATCGCGCAATCAATAGATTCATAGCCTTAAGGTATATAGAGTCACTTGTGAAATTTCTAACTGCTATTATATTTCAAATCATCGGTGTATCTTTGGTAATTCCATGTGACGGATTTTCAAAAAAAAATTAAAAATATTTTTAAAAGTTTGCAGGTATCTATGGTTATTGAAACATCGTGTAAAGAAAACTAAACTAAACTAATACATTAAAACCGCCGGCATATTTTGATCTGCACGACTAGTTTGACGTCAAGCACGGTTCTATTTTCAACAAATTCTTTCACGTATCTTATGAAATCTGCACCAAACCATTTTTTTAGCATTTCCTAGAAGAAACTTTTATTAGTGACATAATTTAACTGATCAAATAATTATTCTTCACATTATTGACCATACTGTCCATGCTCTTTTTATGCACGAAAATAGATTATTTTCGTTCCTTCTTTACAGCGGAAATCGTTGCATCGCGACCTCTTTGTTTTGAAGTTTGTCTGGATTTTTTCCTTACTGTCAATCTGAGGAACGGAGCTTTTCGAAAACTCGTTCAATCATTGGCTGATTAGTATCAGACTCCGCCGCCAAGTCGCAGAAAAACCTAAATCTCAACTATTCCTTTGAACATTGAAGTCGCGATGCAACGCTTTCTGCTGTAAAAATGTGCTTAATGATACATTTTAGTCGTAAACAATTTTTTCTCTATCAGGTTCCGATTATTGTTCAAATTCGATGTTGTAAAAATTACTTAATAGGAAAATAAACGTCGATTGCATGACTTGGCTTCGCATGGTGGATGGAGCTATGTTGGCGCCATTTGTTTTAATAAAAAAAAGCGATCCATCCAACTACTTTTGAATCCATAACACATATATATCTTTTACATGCTTGGTGATTGCAAATAATTGCATTACATGATAGTATATTGACATAATTATTTCAAATTACAATTCACAAATTATGTGAATTTGAATAAATCATAGTTTTTTTTTCACAATTCTCATTCTCGCTAAGTTCAAGGTAAGTTACTTATATCAATACAACTAAAAAAATAAAATTCAAGTTGAATGACGCAGAAAAGTGTTTCCTTTCCGTGCCGTTGCGCACATCAACATTTGTTAAGCAATAGTGTCTCAACCTTCCAATAAAACATCCTTGCCTGGTATCATTATACTGAACACTCTCTTAATTTATTTCATTATTTCCTCTATTGTATTCTTATACTTCAGTACAGAATCATAGTTAAAAAGTACAACTATTCAAATATACAAAATCTCTTTCATCAGTGTCAAGTCAGGAATAGCGCAATATCTGTTGCTTTACACTGTAAAAAATGCCTGGTTACGATGACCAATAAAAATGGTCGTAACCAAACAGTATTGMTTGTTTTGAKCAAYKGTATTTGGTTGAAACGAGTTGACCAATTTCACTTCTGGTCACTGTAACCATTTCTATTGGTTGTTTGTGTAACCAAAGTCAATTATCAAATAAATCTTTGCGTGTCCAGAAAACGCGTTTTTTCACTCTAACAAAATTTATTCGCCTTTCAAAAGCATTTGATAACAAAAAAACATCCTATCTAAATTGGTTGCAATGACCAATTTTGAATAGGTTATTCTATAACTTTTTTTCAGCACTTTTGGTCGGCATAACTATTAGAAAATTGGTTATAAAAATCAATAGATAGTTTTAACATTCTTAAAATGAATTTTAGCATTGTCAGTTATGGTTGATCGGATAATCAATTTTTGAGGTTGTTGTTTTTAACCAATTTAATTTGGTTAAAGCTAATAACCTATATATAACCAATTAATTATTGGTTGAAATAATGAAGNATACGTCATAACCGACTATAGTCTTAACTTGGGAAAACATCATGACCGACTTGTCTATACTCAGCAAAACTGGGGAATTCAGTACTGTACCGCATGCAAAAGGGCGAATATTTGAGTCAAATTCGTTCGAAGATGAAACCGCATACAAGTTTGCGATGATTTACAAAAGTATTCAAGTCGGAATGACTCGTGGCCAGATTAAATACCATAAAAAACACCACAAAATAATAAAAGTAAAATAAAATAATAAAATAGTACAGAGGACCAGCAGAGGACCTGGTGATGAGCTCCTCATATTACGATCCCATAGGTCTTTGCGATCCTCCATCATTTGAAACCTCGCCACTTTAACGGTTATCCGATTGTTGTCTTAGCACGAGTTCAACAAGAATTCTAGCCCTTTTAGCGTTCACAATGCTTCCAAGAACCAGAATCATGATTTGATGTCTTATCTGAGATCTGTTAAACGACCTAGGTGAACTATTTTACACTTTGCTGCTGGAAATCGGTGAGTACGAGTACATGTATTTCAGTGTTTACTATAGAAAGATCTTGAAAGCTTGTGGAAGTAAAAACGTTCTATTTCGAAAGAAGTAAACATGATTAATGTAGAAAATTTTGGTTTAGTCCTGTGTTAGCATTAGGTTTATGTTTTGGTTAGGTTTAGTGATGAAAATCGTGATTTAGTTTCGATGCCGGGTACATAAAATATGCACGTGAAACTATTCACACTGCACAAGGAGTATAAAGTGTAAGATCGGTTCGGTGACTTTTTTGACCTTAGATTATAATGATTAAATGAACACTGATGTGTATAGTAATATGGTATCTTCTCTTCAACAGTTCTGCGCAAGTTTAAGTCAAGTCAAAGAAAAACTCGGCAAGATGACAGCTGAGTACAACTTACTAATAAGTTATAAAGTTGAATGCTTATCTGCATTTGAAAATTCACATGTATAGCTAACCTCTAAGTTAAATCAGCTTTTAAATATCACTTTTATAATTACTTTGGAGGTATGCAGAATGTATAAAAACATGCTGTTTTCGAATGCAGCAGCTTGATGTTACTGCATAGCTGTACATAGTAGAAGGCTCATGATACTTATGTATTTTGCATACTAGTTAAATATATGGTAAATTTATATACATACAATATTTGTATATATACTTAAGTATTTGTTTGAAGTTTGTGTATTTTTCTGCTGGAAATTAACCTGAAAATATTACACTGGGTCCTCAATAATAATAACACTATTCTCATATCATAAGACAATGTATAGAGGATATTACATATGTTTGGAGATACAGATTTTATCCTCAAGTGTTGAAAAGTTCTCTCATGAGTCAGGGTAGCAAACAAGTGAGAGATTGATAATCGTTATCTGTATGCAACCACGTATAATATTCCGTTTATCATATAATTATCCATGAAAACAACTTGTATACAAAGGGACTCTTAGGCCTAGGTTATACATCAAACTTYACATATGTCAAATGCAACTCAARCAATAGATTATCTATCCTCTTTGATGTAATTGCATTTGGTACATTTGAGGTCAGACTTATAACCTCGGCCTTAGTGTAGTACATGTACAATTATAATAGGAAATCTATCCAAGTACATAAGAATGTGGTCAAATTTTCTTGTAAATCCTCATGTGCTAGCATTTTTCATTGTTTTTTTATTGCTTTTTGATACCCTAGATGTAATTTTATTATTGGCATGTTGGTTTACACTGAGATGATAGTTTGTATATATGTAGGGCTAGTGAAAAACAATTATAGAATAGTTTATGATAAGGGATCAGCTTTTCTTAGAGAATAATCAGGGAAATGATAAAAACTTTGTATTTAATACTTGTTGAATTTGTATAGTATTACAATAAATACCATTCATTTCAATATTGTTTTGCCTTTTGTTGGTACTTAATTTCATGAATGTATATAATAGTATTAACCAATTCAATTATATCAGAACAACCAAAATGTAATTGGTTTAACATGATATGACCATATGGAATTGGTTACCTGTGATGCATTTTAACCAAATCATTTAATTGGTAAAAATGATCAATTACAATGGTCATACCGACAATATAT